CTGACTGTCCTCTGTGCTGCTGACTGTTCTCTGTGCTGCTGACTGTCCTCTGTGCCGCTGACTGTCCTCTGTGCTGTTGACTGTCCTCTGTGCTGCTGACTGTCCTCTGTGCTGCTGACTGTCCTCTGTGCTGCTGACTGTTCTCTGTGCTGCTGACTGTCCTCTGTGCCGCTGACTGTCCTCTGTGCTGCTGACTGTCCTGTGCCGCTGACTGTCCGCCGTGCTGCTGACTGTCCTTTTTGCAGAACAATATGCTGAACATGCGCTCTGTTGCAGGCCCCTAATATGTCGGACTTCATGATGGCTACGGACAGGTCACCCAAGTCACCATCATGGTTCTCTGACGACCACTTGGAAAACATGGACCACATCTTAGTCTGCACCCAGGTGAGTGGTGCGCATGTTTACTATGAATATCTTTAATTAAAAGATATTTATAGTGTTATGAAAGATAATGTCAGTACTATTACATAACGCAGTTCAATCGTATTTACTGTGTGATTGTAAGTTAATAATATGATACAATATCTGCCGCCAGATGAAACATCTCGAGCCCCGGATGTCGGACGTGCCGGAGCTGAAGGTCTACCCCGCTAATGTTGAGGAGTACGAGTGTGTGCGCTTGCTGGTGACAAAGATGAGGTTGGAATGGTGGCCTGAGAAAGCTTCTCTTTGGGTTTCGATTGATAAGTTCGTGTTATACCTAATGATGGGTTGGTCTTTGCTCCAATTTTGGAACGTGTGGTATGGTGAAGGAGTGCGGGCACACTTGAGGCAAGATAGAATCCCGCGGCGAGGCAGAATGGCTTTTGGGTGATCTGGCGGTATCTGCCCTGTTGTGACTGGAGAAGCTATATCTTTATGTTCTTATAATTTAGCAAAAAATAATAATATGAATGATCTTATATGTGGGCAATTACTTCAAAGAGTGAAATAGATAACTGTAATCGCTTGTATAACAACCAAGCCTATAATCTGAAGTTGGTCGCACAAAATGATCACTATCCACTTAGAGCAATTAATGAAACGATGCACATTTGCAAGCTGTTGTGGCTGCTAATTACTATCAGCCTAACTCACCGCCAATGGTTTTTTCTGTTAACTAAGCTTAAAGACAATGCCACTAATGTTATTTTATCATCTGTGGCAGCCAATGTGTGTTTAGAGGCTGCAAGAATACTGGGGCTCAAAGTACACAATGTATAGGTTGATGGATTAAATCATGACTCAAAGATGACAATCGAGCTTCGTTTGTAATTTAAATGTCATAATCGCAGTCACCAGCTAAATCTTAGCCGAGAATATTTTGAAACATCAAGAAAAAGTGCCCTTTTGTTTACAAATTGACAGGTAACTTGCACTACGCGTATCTTCTTGCACTACGCGTAATTACAAGATTTGAGCTTGCATTATTTAGGAAGGTTGGACCCTATAGACCCTACCTATAGGGTTCAACTATAAGAGCATAAGGGGTTCAACTATATAGGGTTGACCTATATAGTTGGCCCCTATATACAGTATATGGAGCTATAGGGTTCAACTAAATAAGAGTAGCTACATGGGCACTGCATTCCTATTCCACAAAGAATTATTTTTATTACCGGTGTTGCTTTTATTTTCGAATCAATAAAATCACGGATTTCTACAGTTTTTTATTGCTCGTCACAACCAGCGAACAGGCCTGCAATCTCCAGTTAAAAATTTTGTTGGAAAGCGAGAAAGTATTCATAATTAGAATTACAAATATCCGTGAAAAAATCACTCACCAGTAAGCAAAGGCGATGAAGAAACTTCGCTCGAAGTTCAATAGTATTAATACTCTAGTTGGCTATGGGGTTAATATTCAGTTTGCTCCATAACTTGATCTTCAAAGGGAAAAATACTGGCTAGAAATATGTGTAAGATTATCGATAATAATATTATAAAATCCACTCTATCTCGACGAGAAGTTGAAAATGTTTTTTTTTGTGTCAGCAATTAAGTAATGATTGCTAATTAAAATCATAAGAATGATTACTGATGGTGAATATTATTGGTTATGTTCGGAGTAGAAAGTTTAACAGTGAACCGCTCTGCCGACGCAGTCATAAATCCTTCATATACGATGTGTTCACGACATATGAGTAGATTTTAGCTCCATGCATCGATATAATCGATGCATCCTATCAGCACATCGTATAATCCGTATAATATCTGCTTACAGAAAAAAATCTTGGCTCCTATATAATAAATATAAAATAAATCTAGTAAAATCCATGTATGAATTCAGTAAACCCATGTATGAATTCAGTAAATCCCTGTGTGAATTCAGTAAATTCATGTATGAATTCAGTAAATCCATGTGTGAATGCAGTAAATCCATGTATGGATTTAGTAAATCCATGTGTGGAATTAGTAAATCCGTGAATGAATTCAGTAAATCATGCATGAATTCGGTAAATCCATGTATGAATTCAGTAAATCATGCATGAATTTAGTAAATCCATGTATGAATTTAGTAAATCATGCATGAATTCAGTAAATTCTTGTATGAATTTAGTAAATCCAACTATGAATTCAGTAAATCCATGTATGAATTCAGTAAACACATGTATGAATTTAGTAAATCCATGTTTGAATTCAGTAAAGTCATGTATGAATTCAGTAAACCATGCATGAATTCAGTAAATCCATGTATGAATTTCGTAAATCTATGTATGAATTCAGTAAATACATGTATGAATTTAGGAAATCCATGTTTGAATTCAGTAAATCCATGCATGAATTCAGTAAATCCATGTATAAATTCAGTAAATCTATGTATGAATTCAGTAAATACATGTATGAATTTCGTAAATCTATGTGTGAATTCAGTAAACCATGCATGAATTCAGTAAATCCATGTATGAATTTCGTAAATCCATGCATGAATTCAGTAAATCCATGTATAAATTCAGTAGAATAATCCGAAAATATGAAATAATTTGTAGTCATTTGAAAGATAGTATCTTGAAACAATTCACAAAACTTCTTCTCGATCGCCACGCAGTTATACAATTTAAACTTAAATTAAACACGGTCATCTGGTTATTTACCAAAATTTGTGTATTTCACCGACCTGTGCCATGTCGGTCGAACGGCCACGCGTCATAGGACGATAAATATTGGAACGGAACTATGCTATCTGAAACCCAACCCCGGATATTGTGAGCTAAAAGTGACCGTCTTGTGGTGCACGGCAGGATTCATGCACTTGCACAGGCGACCTGGGCTGGTTGGTCACAGTTCGTTGTCCGCCAGTTACAGTTCAAGCTAAAGTCAGGGTATGAAGTGATGATTCGATGCAACGTTCAGTGGTGGACAACTATTACTCTCTGGGCTATTCGCTTCAGAATATGGTGGCGTAAAGCTCCTAATATTTAAAGCAAGATGATGTCATTTGCTGGTTACTGACGAATGGCTTATTAATCCGCGACTGATTGGTGGTCGTCGGGAAATATGCTAGGCGTTCCATTCTGGGCTGATTGGTGCATAAAATTGGTGGTGCACGGCTGCGTTCCCTTCAATTGCCACTTTCTGGTACATTTTGTGCTTCGTCTTAGAGCCGTACTACACGAAGCCATATAATCTGAGATGTAATGTAATCAATATAATCAATTACGCATCCTGGCTTCAGAATTTCAGCGCCATTACGGTTTTTCTTATCTGATGGAACTAATGTATCTGTGTGCTCTAGAAAAGTTGAGAGGCACACGATAGATCGCTTGTCTTTCCTATTATAAACTTTGATGCCAGCGGCGTTCTGATGCGAAATCATTTCTCCTGTTTTCACTTTTGCATTTAGCAGTGCTTTAAGAACAAATTTCTTTTTCGACAATTTTTCTGCTATAGGAACAGATGTATAGAAATTGTTAGCAAAAATTGTTTAACCTTGTGCCAAGAAGGGGCTGACATAGCTGCAAAACAACAGATTCGGAATGGCTAAACGTTGCTTCTCGTTCCATGTTTCCACTGTATATCAGTATATCCGGCCAAAGGCCGGATCCCTTGTGAATCAAGTCACGAAAAGTTCAAGAATCGGCAACTGGCCATGGGCCTATTTCTTCAACGCCGACACTTCTATTCTATTCTAAATGTGAAGGTTCCTAGTATAGCATCAGCTGAGCAAAGTTTGTACAGCTTTACGCCGTACCTGTGTGCCTTTCCTTGAATGTATTGTCGGAACTTCACTCTGCCACGGAATGGGAAAATTTACCCATCTATCACTGGTCGTGATCCAGGTGTTTATGTTGACGTATCTGTCAGATAGCTTTTGCACAAGTGGTTCTATTTCATGAAGCCTTTTTGATTTTTAGAAATAGCATTATCATTGAAGTGCCTGAAGCGTATAAGCAATAAATATCTATCTCTTGACATGTTATTGGAGGTAAATTGACAGTCATAAATTTTCCTTTTAGACCAGTTGAGTTCCAACCTTGGTTTGCGTACTAATCCTATTGCAATTATCAGCCCAAAAATTCTTCATTTCATGATCATTTGCGGGAGTCTAGCATTTCAGTCGCGATCTTCTTGTAATCTTCGTGCTCTACAAAAGTTGATCAGCATATGTGTTTGTTTCTGGTACTATTTATGAAATAAATTTCTCCTGGGTAGATTATAAGTATGAAATAGCGTTACTGTGTATTCAAGTAAAGTGCTGCCTGCGCGACAGCATTTTTCTGTGTTATACGTTGTTTCATTCAAAGTTGGACTAGGTAATGCGTTCACTAACAAGTTTTGTGCCGCTAAATTGGAAATATAGAGAATAATTGTTATATTCATTTCTCAAGCTCTGGCATTCATATAGTAAGATCTATTTTTTCTAATTACAGTTCCCTCACTGCAGTTGCGTTAGTCTACTACGCTGGATCCGAAGTTTATCCGTTGTATTTGCAAAAAAAAATCAAAAATGGCATTTTTTCCTCTTAATGGCGAACGAAATAATGTAAAAAATTTGTAATTTTTTATCGCAGGGCATTGATTTCGAGGTCCGTTCAGTACTAAAGGAGTTATTTGTGGTTCCGTTGCCTAGAAATGTTCTTGTTTTTAGTTTTAATTGAAAACGATCCAATATAAAAATCTGCAATTTTTCCTATCGCAGGACATTCATAATAACTACTTATATTCCAAATTTCGAGCAGATCCGTTCAGTATTGAGGAAGTTGTGACTGGTTGAGCGTGTAGTTAGGTTGTGCGTTTGAGTCCGCAGGCTAGTAAGCAAGCGGGTCTGTAGAAGTGTCGATTCGGTTTAGGACTGGGCTACAGTGCGCAGTGGTGCCGCAAGGAAGTGTTCTTGGGCCAGATTTGTTCGATGCTTTTATAAACGATCTACCAGAAGTGAATGGTGTCAAGCGTGTGCTCCATGTATGCTGACGACACCAAAGTTTATAATACAGTTAATGATGCGTCAAATAAAATACAACTGCAAAATTAACTTGATAGCCTGATAGGTTAGTTGACTGGGCTGATGCGTGGTAGCGCGTTTTAATGCTGACAAGTTTATGTCTGTCGTGCGCCCGAACCTCGAGTTTGGAAACGCCGTGTGGTCACCGAAACTTAAAAAGGACAAAATTTAGTTGAGAGTGTTCAAAGACTTGCAACAAGGATATTTCCATTCTCAAAGTGCAAGTCTAATCAAGGAAGTTTGAAGATAACGAAGCTTCCCAGTATCTGTTATCGACGTCTGCGACGTGAATTCATTGAAGTATACAAGTATACTCATGGTTTGTATAAGATCCCAGGATTACTAGAATTTGAAACAAGAACCAAAACTAGGGGCAACAGCCAAAAACTAAAAAAAACTGCGGTGCAACTCATCCATGCGACAACACTTTTTCTCGCTTTGAGCCACCGACATGGGGAACAGCCTTCCTTATGATATTGTTTACGCGCCGAGTATGAACGCGTTCAAGAACAGCCTAGCATATGTTTAGTCTTAAAATACCTAGTCCTCTATGGAACAACAAAGTCTAGAAATGATTTCAACCCACCGTCCGTTGAAAATATTTGATGAAAACGCTTGATTTTGAATGATGAAACGCAATGATGAAAACGCAAAGCATTTGACAGTGTTCCGCATGAGCGGCTGTTGCGTAAAGTGAAGTCCTTGGGGATTGAGGGAAACGTACTCACGTTGGCGCTCCAAGTATGAACGCGTTCAAGAACAGACTAGATAAAGCTATGGAAAAATATATGTTCAGATTTGAAATGCCTAGCTCCTTATCGAACCCGATGGAAGTCTAGTAGCTTCTTCAAACTATCGCCAGTCATGAAAAGATCCGGTCAAATGACACGAGTTTAGATCTATGAACAAGGCACGAAATGGAATAGAATCGGCGACAGGCCACATCAGGCCTACACTTCAGAGCCGACATCACTATGTTATGTTATGTTATGTTGATTTTAGATCTGTGAAAAAGTCACTAAAAGCACAATAATCGGCGACAGGCCCATTCAGGCTTATTCTCTAACGCCGAAGACACTATACTATATGAAGCAGCTTAATTTGCGTTCATTTATCAACATTAACCATTGAGGAGAGCGTTGAGCTTTAATAATAACAGCATTTAAAACTCATGACAAGCAAAGCAGATACGACCGTGCTGAAGGTACCGGAAATATCCGGGTGGCGGCGGACTCCGTAGCACCCAAGCCGCGCGTCGACGAATCTTTCAAATGTCAAGCGAGTGCAAACTTTTATTTGCAATACGATTTTTATTAATTCTTAATGGAAAGCCTACGTTGGTCTAGTGGTTTAGAATTAGATCAAATGTACCGATTCAAACACGAATTTACGAAAAAAAAGCTTGCTGAAAGTTTTGCAAGCTTGTTAAATAAGCCCGTAACCATTGATAACAATTTGCATTAAAATGATCAAGATGATGGTGATAACAAAACTGCTCTTTAACTAATCCACGTGGCAAATGATTAAAATCGAATCTGGAACAAACCTTGCATAGCCCAGACCAAATTTACAGCAAATTTCGATCCCGAAAACGTTTTATTAAGGCACAATTGATTTTTGTCCGAAAATAAATAAGTTCAAAAAGGAAGTGAAAGCATAAAATTGAAAAGGAATATCTTTATTCCGAATAGGAAAAACACAATTAGTAAGTCAACACAACAATACAATATCACATTATATGCCACCTCAGCAGGCGTAGCACGCCGGGGATGTTCCACAATAACTAGTGACTCCATACCTCCTTCCTAAAACCTATGCATAAATAACAATAGTGAGATTCTCGGAATGATGAGACAAACTCCAGATATAAATTTTTATTGTCACAAAAATAATTATAAAAACAAGAACCATAATTAGATCCGTATTTATAGTGTAACATAGAGTCATTAGTATTAGGTTAAAAGGTATTTGCACCTACTACTTAATATTCCCAATTATATATCTTCAGATACTCGAGTTTATAATGCACTTTCGTAGTAAGGGTTATTACAATAATTAAAATGAAAAACTGTTAATATAATTCGAAATACAAAGTCTTTGTGTTATAGATTAGCTTAGCCGGAAAAAGGAACTTTAATTTGAAAACCATAAAAATACGCTCTTATTGACACCAGCATTGATTATATTTTATCATCACTAACAACAATACAATTCAAGAACGTTATCACACAAGGGAGCACTTGACATATTCAGCACCTTCAATACTCAGCACCTGGTTCCAACCAACGCTCAAACCTATTTAATAGAAAATAAGATTTAGCGGGATAATAACAAACTGACGCTTCAGATTCTTGTGCAACACCATCACAATTTAGACAGTTGATCGGAAATATGTAATGCCTAAATAATCTATAAATTTTAAAACAAGGAAATAGCACCATCAAATGTAGCAACTAAATTGACAGATTAGATGCCATTAGACAACCGCTTCTAAATGAGATACATTCGACATGAATAAAACATCAGAGTACAGTTTTAAATTTACCATATAATTAAACAAGCTTTCATAAAGAGTCACGATGTTAGCTTAATTTAACAGTCGAAGTGTCGTCATATTAATTGTACTAAAGTACCTCTAATAGTACAGCAGACATATGTAACAGATCAAAGTTCAGAATCGTTAGGTGGCAGCAGTTACGAATATTATATGAGAGCAACGCACGATTGTTGAAAAATTTGTGTTCCAAAGGCGCTTAAAATGACGCTGAATATGCGTGGCACGGCACTCAAATAGCATAAATTATTACACTAGACTTCCTATGCAGAAATGGACGTAGAATTTCTTGGACTTGCATCTGAAACAATGCACATTTTGGTAACAATAATCCTAACAAAATGAGATAATAAACGCATAAAATTAATGTTAATAATAAGCGATACATAGATTAAGAATTGATTCGCATGCACGAGCACACAAACGCTGTAAATAATGTAAAAATTCTCCTTATACAATCGAGACTGCACAACTACAAGCACATAACTCTGTGTACGGAAGGTTTCATCCATTCGATATCCCGTGATGAAGAAAATTCGCTGCGTTAGTTGCAAATGAACATGATGTCTTTTTTCAAGCAAGCAGCTCAAACACTAATCAAGGGATTTCGAGAATTAGTCTAAGAACTAGGATTCTTCGTAAGTGTTGATTAAATGTAGAAGCTGAAAGTGCGTTCGTAATAAAATTTGATTCATCTAACGCCATTGAGTTCAACCTCAAAATCCCCAACAAAAATCTTTCATTCTTAGTGATTAAGAATCGCTACACAATATAGCGAAACTAAATTAATTTCTTGACTTACGACAGCCTTTTTTCGGTTGTGAGGCATCAGGCAACAAGTGCAAATATACAAAGCCAGTAATAATTTAATCAACTGTACCTATGGCGGTATCCTCGCGAGATACGCGAGTTGAGTTACAGCCGCTGTCATACGTGGAGTCGGTGGATTCACTTCTTGCAGATTGTTGAAAAAGAGTCGATCTTTCGGAAAAATCTTGGTCTGGGTAGTAGCGGTAGTAGCAAGATAGAGAAATTGTGACAATGGCTACAAATAGGTGAAGCAGGGCAATGATGAAGGTTCCCCAACCAAATCCAATGGTGTCAAACATGACCCCGGCGATGGATGGCCCGATGAAGCCGCCAAGTGCAACAGAAGAATTCCAGAGTCCAGACACTAGGCCGTAGGTTGCGAGATCGTCCGGAAGCCCAGCCTCGACGGCATCCTTCTTCGCTCCGCTGAAAGTGGCCACCATCTCGGCCCCGAAGCCAATGCCATGAATCACCAAGGCACAGATGCACAGAGGTAAGCTGTTTTTTATGGGTAGAATGGGTGAAGGACCCAACAGCAAGAAAGCAACTGTGACTGTTAAAGCCCCCATCGTTGTAGCAGCTCGCTCTGGAAGACATCTGTCGCATAAACGGCCCCAAATCGGCGCAGAAACGGCATACGCGAAGCCGTCTAAAACGAAGATTAGACCGATCTCCAGAGGGGCGAGATTCCAAGGACGTATGTGGGGCTCCAGAGTTGCAAACAAGAAGAAAATGCTCATAGATCCCGACATTGTTGTGAAGGCAAAAAGGAATATTTTTGGTTTCCTCATAAGCAAAAACACCGTGTATCTTGATGTTGGTCGTGTGCGACTACTTTCAACAGGTAAAAAGTACCACACCATGGCTGCTGCGACCATCAACAAACTACCGAGCACCACAAAAGGCAGAGTGAAGCCACCCAACTCGTACAAAGCGCCGCCGACTGAGGGTCCCGCTATCATGCCAAGACCGTAGAAAGTTTCGAGAGTGGCAAAAGCAGAAGCAACATTCAAGGAGAACTCCTGCGCTATAATGCTGAAAGCTGTGGTGAGGAAGGCGGCATTACCTAGCGCTTCCATTATCCGAATGATGAACGAAAATGTTAAGAAAACTGTTGGTCCGCTCATTCGGTTAAGAAACCCAAATAAAATGCAAGATACTGAAACAGTAAAAATTCCAGCATTGTTCATAAAGTTCACCCCTATTCTCTCCAAGAACTGTCCGTATATTGGACACACAATAAACACTACCAGTTCGAAAACTGCAAACACGAAACTGTACTGCATGGTTGTGGCACCTTTCTTCTCAGCTTCATGTGGGTAGAATGGTGCTTGTATTGACATGCACATGGCGTTACAGAAGTGTGCAATGCAGAACACGATGAGCGTTAACCACTGCTTACGAGTGTAGTTTCTCATCGTAGGTGTATTCACTCTCTCTGACGCGAGGAATCGGCGTCACTGCAATGCGTCTATCAGACCCTGTCTTTATGCGAATAGCACTTTTTCAAAATGTGTGCCTCGCACCTCTTTAGAAAACAAATAAAGACGCTAAACAAGCTGTCCGATTATTGTGAATCCTCTAAAGACGTTCAAATACATGTAATTTAGTGTGGCAAAGTCAGGTGAAACAACTCATGAAGACGGACTGTCGTCACATGAGCAGACACATATGCACTGGGCAGTCGACTGGAGCCAAAGTTGGAGGTACTCTCTCACGCCTCCGCACCCCCAAGTGCGGCTGTTGTCTGTGGTGCCAAGCTGGTTCGTGTAGGTGGGGTGATGTGGAGATGCGACGCTCTGCAGTTGCGACACTATGCAGGCATCATAACCTATGCTCGTTAACAAAAATATGAAAAATACTTCAGCAAATGAAGAGCAGGCTGAATTGTTAATAAAAATAAAAAATGTGTTCATTACTTCCGTTACACTTGTACGAACAGAAATGTAAGATGAGCGAGTATCGTGGAGGTGGAAATATAATGCAGGTTCAGCCACCCAGGCTAATTATAGTGCTAATACACGGGGCTTGTATTCGCTCCGAGTACTCGCACTCCAAATATTGCGATGATTTATTCTTTGGATACGAGTAGCTGATGCATTGGCGCCCGAAACAGTTCAAGTTGTTATGTCTTATGTACGGTCTAGTTGGGCTATGGCGCAGCGGCAGTCGTACTGTCGTAGTGAGTATGTGTGCGGCTCTGTATCCTGCTTGGGCCGCTCTGTATGTTCTAATGTAATAAACTGTGTCTTGTCCCAATTAATGACGATGGTTCAAAAAACGTTAAGATATGTTCAGATGATTTGAGCTTTTCTTATAGATATTCCAAAAGTACGATCTACTGTGGAATGTACGCCACGATAAACATTACAACAAAAGCTAATTGAGAAAGTAGTGTTTTGAAAGTTTAACGAGACCTTCCAAGGTCCCTCGCCCTCAGGCTACGCTGATTTACAAAGTTTTTCACCTCAGCACGAGTGGCAATATGCCACCAACTGTTTCCTCAAACTCGTCATTATCGTTAAATTCCATATTCCACCGTGCGCAGACCTCACTCGAGAACGCCTGTCGGAGACCACCATTGCCGTGCTTCGAATGGTCTCTCATGATCCCTTCCCTCAAGAACGTAGCCTACAACACTTATTCACTATAACATTATCAGCCGCAAGCCACCAGACCGATCACATCCATTGAATTAGATAAATCAGCCCACAGGATCGTCTGCCAATAAGCGAAAAAAATTTACACCACCCGGACGGAGCGCGCCGGAGCCTTGCAGTGATTATGATGCCTGTCACCGAACCGTCCGCATCTGTCCCGTGTGTCAAATCAGCCTACGGTCAAACGGCCACGCGTCATAGGACGATACATTTTGGAACATAACTGCGCTATGTGAAACCTAACCCCAGATGCTGTAAGTTAAAAGTTAAGTATTTTAACGAAGAGAACACCTTCCTCCGCCCGCGACCAGCAGCGACGTCATGTTGCGTCATGCCTTGCAAAACCAATTCAGTCCGCAAAGACTGTTCACCGGGCACGAGGCCCGCACGAATGCTGTGAGCACCATGATTTACTCAAGGTGACACAGGAGCCACCCCGCGCAAGCAAGGACACAGACTCGTCGGCGGACGATAGATTTTGGAACAGAGCTATGCTTTCTGTAACCTAACCTCGGATGTTGTGAGCTAAAAGTGAACGTCTGGTGGCACGGCATGATTCATGCAGTTCCACTGGCAAGCTGGGCTGGTTGGTCGCAGTCCGTTGTCCGCAAGTTACAGTTCGAGCTAGAGTCAGGATATGAAGTGATGATTCGATGCAACGTTCAGTGGTGGACAACCATTACTCCCTGGGCTATTCGCTTCAGAATGTGCTGCCGTAAAGCTCCTAATATTTAAAGCAAGATGATGTCATGCTGGTTACTGAAGGATGGCTTAATCCGCGGCTGATTGGTGGTCATCCGGAAATATGCTAGGCGGTTCTTTCAGGGCTGATTGGTGCACAAATTTGGGGGTGCACGGCTGCGTTCCCTGTTGAATTACAGGGTCCGCCATATTTAAGGCAACGGATGTTTGCTATATAAAAATAAATTGGTTTCTAGGAGACTTTTCTTTTATAATGAAGTTTGAGGACGTATTCATCTATTTTATATTGCAGAAGTCTAAGGTGTCTAAATATACTATTACTTATGGAAGTAGATCAGTATAAGTATATCATCTTGCCCCAGAGGTTAAAGTTCAGAGTACCAGGATTGGCCCAGAGAGGCGCGGGTTCGATCCCAGCTCTGTGCGCCAGTTTCTGGTCAGAATCGGCGAAAAATTTGGAGTCGGGATGGATCTGTGGCAACCAGAACAGCAACACGACGTCAAAATCTCATGTCCGCGTGATGGTTTGGGCCGCGGTAACCGCCACTGGGAGGTCCCCACTCATTTTAATCCCCTCAGGAGTGAAATTGAACAGTCAGCGATACATTTCGGACATTTTGGAAGCTGTGTTGTTTCCTTGGGCCCATAAACACTTCAACGGTTCACCACGGAGTTTTCAACAAGACTCTGCCCCATCACATGACTCAAACATGACCCAAAACTAGATTCAGGGTCACATCCCAGCGTTCGTTAGCAAAAACGAATGGCCAGTGTGGCAGGTATGGTGTGTGGCAGGTATGGGGTGTGGCAGGTATGGTGTATTGCAGGTATGGTGTGTGGCCCTCAAGAAGCCCTGATTTTAATCCTCTCGACTTTTCTGTGTGGGCTATTTTAGAGAGTAGGGTCTGCAGGACACTTCATGATTCTTTGGATAATTTGAAGGCTAAATTGACACGAGAATGGGACTTGATCCCTCAAGAAATGCTTCGTGTCTCCTGTGAAGCTTTCCCGCGTAGATTGGAGGCCGTCATTAAAAATAAGGGTGGTCATATTGAATAAATATGTCTGAGAATTGTTTAGGTAATTCTTAACTACTAGCTCATCCAATAAAAAAAAACAATGCACCTGTTTGTTTCATTGAGAAATACCAAAAAAATGCGTTGCCATAAATATGGCTGACCCTGTAGAGCCAGCGGAAATAACTGATAACTAACGGGCCAACCCAATCTTCCTTCACAGCGGTCGAATGAGTTTTCAACGTAAGTTCTAACAGATGAGCTTTTGTTTCAAAATATGTTATGAGAAAATCTTGCCGGGGAGCCGAAAGATAAAACTGAAGACCCAACGGGCAATCCTACTCTTTCCACACTGCGGTTGTAAGCATTGTCCTCAGCTGATTACAAAAATTGTTCTTTGGCATTATGTCGATACGATAAACATTTTGGATTATGATTTAGATTTGGGGCGTGGTGGCTCTGAGAAAAAAGACATTTCAGTGTCAGGCCTTTGCAACTGCCATCAGCCACGCATCACATATTCATTTGTTAGTAGGAAGGAAAAAGGGAGACCCTGCCAGGTTAAAGCGACATTAATTAAAAGAAGAGGCCAGAAAAGTACGAAAGTTTGTGTTAAGGGTGAGATTAAATCAAGGGGAAGAGAAATCCAGAGGAAATTCATTTGGTTTATCATTGCTATTGTCAATTATTGCACTGTATAGTAATTGTAATTTTCTCTATGAAGCTTGAAGCAACATTTTTGTTATTTTGCTCTATGCAAAGTTCTTTCTAAAATCAGCGAAAAAGCATCAAGGGAATCTAAGTTTTATACCGTGCGTAAAAAAAACACTACAGAACTAATTGACGTTTGATGACGTTTTACTAAAATAAAACGTCATCAAACGTTATATAAATTCATCAACAAAACGTCGTATAAATTCATCAACAAACGTCATATAAATTCATCAACATAACCAACTCAGCAGTTAACTCGAGAAAATTCACCACGGTTATCTGGAATTATCTTCCTGGTTACTCATTAATAACAAAAAGTAACGGTGAGCTCAACAGGCATTCTAAGGTGAATCAACATTGTATCAACTTCCGTTTTCGACGTTTGAATCAGGGCGAATGCTGATTTAAAATTAAAATTGAAGCTACATCGTGCTGACGACACAGTAGTTCGTTTGAACGATATTACTAATGACCACACATATTCAGTAACCTTAAACTCTTCGCAGGAAGAAACTTCAACCTTACGCGGGATAGCACTCACGACTCCCAGTTTGTTGCGTGACACATCATTTTCAATCGTAATATTTCATGGTAAATCTAATATGTTGGTGCTCTTATTTCCGAATCTCGGCTTCCAGCTAATCATTAATCATAAAAACTTACTCATCATTTCGTCGTTCGTACCGACCTTCGCATCAGTCGTGTATAGTAAGCATATAAAATTGGGTTTTAAAACTCGAAGAAATTCATATTTCGTAATAAAAATATTCGTGAAAAGTTTGAACGTAAGCAACAATTTTTCTGACAAAAAAAGCTAGCAAAACTTTACTGATATGTAAATCTAACAAATGAGTAAGTTAGCTAAAGATTCTTAATTGAGTTTTCTCCTCATACCTTCAAAATGAAAAAAAACACTCAGGTTAGAATCACGTTTAGTATTATAATTCAAAATGTTATAAATCCACTCCATCACAACTAAAAATTTCAAACAGAATTTTTATCATGAATACAATAACAATTGATGATAAAAATTCTGTTTAACAATAACACGGTTAGTAGTCAACTCCTTCGGTGCAGTCACGAATCATAAGCTGTGTTCACGGCACATGAGCAGATTATGTTCCCACACAACGATTTCATCAACCTATCAGTACGTCAGTGTAGGAATATGTAGGATCAAAGCAGAATATTTGTTCGGTGTTCTTAAAAGCCTGTGGCATCGATAATCTACGTCATATCCCAATAAATATCAAAAGCATGGATCTTCTATAGTAAGTCATAAAGATGACAACAAAAAACATGGGTGACATCAATAAAATCACTAAATACAGGGAGAATTCACATTCATTTAAAAGCTAGTATAATATAATTCACAAACTACCATTCAGTGAATGTCAACATTGAATACGTAGACTAATTTAATTGAAATTAAATACTATTTTCAGTTTGTACGAGAACATCAAAATTGTATCATTTCACTGACACTTTTTAAGATAACAAAAATCATGAACTAACACGGCCGTTTGTCGGTGACAAAATGCTGATTCATGTACATCGTGAATGCCAATTCATCTACAAAAATGCAGATGAATCATGCTGTTATTCATTTATAAATGCGGATTCATAGAGAACCTGAAAATACACAAAAATTATTCAATATGTGTGCATTCACTAGCAAAAGCAGACTTAGGAAATATGTCAATACAAGCTCCAGTTTATACGTTGTTTCCAGACCAGTTTAAACGGTCTTTCCTAATCTATTTAGTTCTAACAGGTGTTCCCTAATCTATTTAGTTCTAATCTATTTATTAAGAAACGTTCTAACTTATAAAAATCGAAATGAGACAAATTCATAATATTTTGCACGGCCATATTGTTTATAATTATTAAAATCGCAAGCATATAAGAATTAAAAGAAAGAAAACAGCCAGAAAATTCCCCATTCTTATTAGAGAAAATGTTTCGGAGTCCAGCTCCATATCGTCTGTTTAAAAACCTAAAACGCAAGTATAAACAAATAACAAACTACAATTATTTGGGGGGGGGGTATGAACTGTATATTACGAGGGGAATTGAACTGTAAGCGGCATTTAAACTAGGCTTTTGTTTAAAATGTGCAGGGACTCAAAAAATTCGCAGGCCAGAAAAAGCGGCTGTGGAAGCTGAAACTCTAAAATCACTATCGGACACCGGTACGTTGCACTGCTCGGCATGAACGCGTACTGCTGAATTATTTGTTTTAATATCTTCAATGTGAATTTTAGTTTTCTACTTGTTTATACTTGTGTTTTCGGTTTTTGAACTGATGATGGAGCTTAACTCCGAAACGTTTTCTCTCATAAGAAATAGTCAATTTTTTTGGCTGTTTTCCTTGCTTTTAAATTATTGTTAACAACTGGTAATAAACTTGAATTTGTAACAATTAGAATAGCTTCCGTGAAGATAAGAGAATATAACTATTAATAAACTTGAACTTGTAACAATTTGAATAGCTTCCCTGCATATGAGAAAAGGTACGAAAATATGAAATTTTCCTTGTATTCATTTGACAAGAATTCCATTTAGTCAACATACCTAACTCAGGAACGTCCAAAAACAATGGAAAACCTTTCAAGTTTTAAGGTACAGGTTAGGTTTACCGGCAAAGTTAAGCTTGAAGCCCGTAGCAGATGGCCGTTTCTTTGAATCTCTACTCCAGCACATATCGAAAAGTTGCTGCAGCCAAGTTTCTACATGCAGATCATCGCTGACTTGCGGGGTTAAACGTTTTTCTCCAACTTCCTTCCTTAGTTGATAAACGTTCAAAGTATCAAACGGTTCCTCACCACATACGATTTCAAATACAACCAAAGATAGTGAATAAACATCGGCCGCCATCCACGCAGGAATGTTGAGCATTTCGCCTCGTAAGACTTCTGGCGCACTATATCGGGGAGTGCCGATGTTGCCACGGCATTCACTCGTAGTTGAAACTGACTCAGAATTATTCTTCATCATAGAAAGGCCAAAGTCGGTCAGCTTTGCAGTTAAAGAATCGTCCATAGATTTTTCGTTGAAATCAATCAGGACATTTTGGGATTTGATGTCACAGTGAGCAACACCCTGCGAGTGGAGGTACTCAAGCCCAAGGGCGACATGACAAATCATCGAAAACTTTTGGGCCTCGGAGAAACTCATTTCTTCCATGTGCAGAGCTTCATGAAGACTCATCTTCATGTATTCCATACAGATGCACAAGTTAGGAGAAACTACGCAAGCTCCTATAAACTTTACTATGTTGGGATGATTCAGTTTAGACAAAACTCCGACCTCTTCGTTGAATTTTGTTTGCATTTTCTTAGAGACGCGTTGGACACACAGCTTCTTGACAGCGATGATGGACCCTAAGTACTTAGCGACATAAACGACACCGAAGGCTCCAATACCAATGATACTGCGAAGCTCAATGTCTTCGTACTTGATACTGTTCCCTAGGAAATTCGTGATGATGTTTGTTGATGTCTTGGGATCTTGATCAAGTTTTGAATCATTTTTCCACTTCTCAATTTCCATAGCTCGAGTGAAATGCTGCAGCACCCGGTCGACAGCATAGTTTATTTCGTTTTCAGTCAAGTCTTCGGTAGACAGATCCAAGTCTTCTTGAGGAATACTCAATAGATGTCGGTAGACGACTCCAAGTGATTTCGAAGTAGCTGACCTCGAGCAGCCAGGCCCCTTTCTTCCTTGTCTGTGCGACGACAGATTCGCTTTCGTACAATCGTCAATGTACGTTTTCAAGTCGATGTCACAGAAACGGGATGAATTTGATAGTGTATTCGAAAGCACGACCGCAGATCCAAGAGGCTGACCAACCCGACCTAAACGGCGGTTAAGTGCATTGTCAACGTAAACTTTTCCCGAAGAAGTAGAGGCGGTATTCGCACTGGAGCCAGAAGAATTAACTGCAGATCCGACGGGTAATCCCACTCGTCCAACATTGCGATTGAAAGAGTTGTCAACGTATGTTCTACTTGATGAGCTCGCAGTCCCGTACGAGGTATTAGACGGACTTGCCGTGGAGCCAGAGGAAATGACAGCAGATCCAACAGGTAAGCCGACTCTCCCCACACTACGGTTGAAAGAGTTGTCGACGTAGGTTCTACCTGAGGAGCTCGCAGTCCCGTACGAGGTATTAGACGGACTTGCCGTGGAGCCAGATGAAATGACCGCAGAACCAACAGGTAACCCCACTCTTCCCACACTACGGTTGAAAGAGTTGTCGACATAGGTTCTGCCAGAAGAGCTCGCGCTCCCGTATGAGGTATTGTAGGAACTGGCCGAGGAGCCAGAGGAAATGACTGCAGACCCAACAGGCAATCCTACTCTTCCAACACTACGGTTATAGGCATTGTCGACGTACGTCCTTGGCATTTTCGCGAGTGACTTCGACCGTAACTACCTGCAAAATGTAGAAAAATTGTCATTAGTCATCAGCTAATTAAAGTAATCCGAAGATTAATTGTCGTGGCAAGACACGCTTGGAAGTCATCCATTAAATATAAATATTTATTTCTGCACAAAATTATCATGTACCGAAGTGAAAATCATTTATCGAGTTTTTTGTCCCTTTTTTGAATTTCTCAAACACGCATACCGTACTTAGAATAAGACGGCAGAATTTGTTCTTCTATTCAAGTTCGATTGAGTTTTCACTGTGAACACTTACATTATTATCCAATGATCATTCTTGTGGCAGGTTGGAGCAGGTTGCCCGCGCGGGCAAACCTGCTTCCACTGTGTCCACTGTGTGCGTACCCTAACACAACACCCTGGACAAGCCAGGTACTCATTTATCAACTAGAGTCGTATGAATGGCTGAGTTGACCATGAGCTGAGCTTTCCGGAAGACCTTGTCGTCAATGGGACCCGAACCCGAGCGCTGGGTGCTTGAGACAGAGTCTCTCACCACTGCACCACTGGTGCTGTATAACCAAGCTTCCTTGTGTTATGTGTTAGTTAACGAAGAGTTTTGCTTATGTGGCAGGCGTTGATGACGTAAGTGTAAACGCGAGGTTCAACATTTAGTTATAGTAGGTGACAAAAATCATACATGTAACTTACATTGGGTAAGGACTGGACCATCTTTTAAATTTAATATACAGTATTGTAGCTGAGTGCAGGTCACCTACGCCTTTAATCAACTATCAAGCATGTTTATATTAAGAGAATATAACCCTTAATGAAAAAAAAACGTGAGAACAGGTTTATATAGCGGAGAATGCAACTTTTCATAAGGAAACGTGATAGCAGGTCTATATACGGAGAATGTATCTCTTAATAAAAACGTAATAGCTTGTTTATATAGAGAGAGTATAATTATTAATAATCAACTATTCAATGACACGAGATTTCATTGTGAATTTCATGAAGGATTTATGATAACACTAACAAAAGCACTGTGTTACATTAATCACTTACACAAGGTGTTTTGGCAGACAAGAAAGAAAGATGCGGCTAAGCTTCATAAACGATTACGATGCCTGAAATCGGGAGACCAGAGATTAGGCTTATAAAAGGCAATTGTGTTAAGACTACACAATATATTTCAACAAATTCAACGCAAGACACACGCGAATGATAAATCATTATAATAATCGAGCTCAGGGATACGATCGAAAGAACGGAACAGTCTTCCACGAAAATTTTCTCAATGACTTAGAGTTGCAGAAAACGGGACGGGCGTCTATGCTGTCCCTTTGCGGCGTAAAAAAATCACAGTCACTATAAAAAATCACAGTCACAGTCACTGACTAAGAAAAATTACCGGTAAATATGGCACACGCTGACACGCCTAAGTTATACTCAATGGTTGGGATAGAGATTGGTTGAGGATTCAGCTCTGGACGCTTTTCACTATACAGCGAAGATGCCAATCATTTTCGTTTCAATACTCAACCGTCAGAATGGTGTGGTTCATGTCAGAATGGGTCATTTTACACAGGTAGAAGGCACTGAGTAAATGAGTTATTTCCACGACTCAGACGCTTGAAGGATGGCGCCTCCCTAACTAACTGTCTCTATACAAAGGTCACTCAAATTGATAATAACTGTGAACTATGATATATGTGGCCAATGAACATGTGTGTCTAGCAATGACCGACAACTGCAATGGCTTGGCGCCGTGTAATAATGTGCCATAACTTCTATCTATATTCGATAACATGAAATTAATACTGCATCATCAATTTTAGAATCATACACACATTAACTGACAAGAAGGAACACACAAATGTACGGTGACATGATAAAATATAGCTATTAGGCTTAGAAATATATAAATGTAGCAACTGCATATTAGGGGACACAGAACGAGCCCGCGTGACCATACGTTTATCGCACGAGCACCGAACGCGCACTGGCGCGAACTGCGAAGTTGTAACGAAGGGCGAGGCTAACGAGAGAACCACGTGGAGTGTTAGCGCCTTTGTTGTAAGATGTTGCTGTTTTTCACGCTTCTTTCTACACACGTGTCGTTAGCTCACTAGAATAAGTGGAAGATTTACAGAGAGAAGACGATATTGAGAAGATTGTGATCTGAAGAGTAACGTTAAATCTGGACTAAACGTAAAACGTGGAGTAAATCTGGCTAAGATAAAGTATGGCTGCGCCATATCTTATCTCTGCTTGGTTATTTCTTGAATATGATAACAAATAAAGGGTTATCTCTACGCCATTGTTATTATTTCACATAAAAAATTTATAGTTGCCGCTTCGTAACATTATAGTCTGTTATTTAACAACATTTTTCATATGTTTAGCATAGTTATGTTTAGCATAGCATATGTTGAGCATAGTCTGTTATTTAAAAACATTTTTTAAGTTTCATCAACAGCGCCCATTGCAATTGACTTGCATTTTTAGAGAGATGGTAGATGATCGAATATAACACGAAATACAGCGCAATTCATTCATGAAGTGAAGTGATCAATTATATTTAGGGATGAGTATTACATTGAGAACTGTCGTTAATGCGTTCTAGTCATGAATGCGTTAAAATGAAAATAACAAGCATAAGTGAAGACATTATGATCATTAGCTAATATTAGTGGTGTATTCTTGAGAGCATAAATACATGAATAGAGATAGCACAGATACGCGCAGAAAAGATAAGAGAACCTGTGCGTGGCAAATGAATAGTGAGAGCAGGTTTATATAACTGCATGAGAATATAACTGTAAGAGGTATATTCATTATTCAGTAACCATCCTATGCTGTGCAATTGTCTTCTTGTTTCCTGATCATGTAATTCACACAAGGGCACGGTCAATGAAACTTAGGTTACGAACACACGAAATTTTAATTCCAACAAACTTTAACAAAAATGTTCGCCAACACGTACAGGCTCCGAGCCAAGGTCGCGGTTATTAGTCTTATGCCGCACCTTGAAACTATTTTGCATCTAGGTTTAAAAAATATTACAATGCCTTTACGTATAGTAATACATCCTATATATTACAACTTAAATCAGACAAATAACAATATGACAATAAATGTTCAGCGTCTCTATACCATACCGTACTGGTCAACGTCGATATCAAAAATGACACGTGATGACAGAGCGAGACTGAAAACTACTAAGATAAACAAATGCTACAAGATATGCGTCAAAGCTGCGCCTACAATAACTCTTAATAAAAAAACATGAGAGCAGGTTTATGTAAAAAGAATATAACCCTCAATAAAAAATAGTGAAAGCAGATTTATATAGGGAGAATATAACTCATAATAAAAAAGTGAGAGCAGGTTTTTAGAGGGAGAATGCAACTTTTAATAAAAAAAGGTTAGAGCAGGTTTATATAAATAGAATTTAACTCTATAAAAAGCGAGATAGCAGGTTTTTATAGAAAGAATATAATTATTAATTAAAAATGAATCTCGCAAGCGCGCGTGTAAATCAATGTAAAAATTTATTAGTTGAAGCAAAATCAATACAACAATAGAAATTAAATCGATTGTTGAAGAATGAGAATAACGGCAGAATGGAGACAGAAATTATTTATTTGCATGGTATGACTTTCCAATGCTGTATACCATCTTGATGAAGCTTTGAACAGGCTCATTGCCATCATGGTCAACTCCACTAAGATTTTTAACATACCTTCAGGTGCGAACGCATAAAATAACTGTATTACTAAGGAAGATTTGAATACATTATAAAAAAAGTTATACAAAATAAATCACTCCAAATCAAGAAAGAACGGAGCCAAAATTATTCACAAATCGTCTACTTTGTTTTCCAAAAATTGTAAACCTACAAAAAACTCTTAAATTATACGGCCATCACACCATCATAATTAAGCGCACTCTTATATAGTAGGCAAAACTGACACTGCATTGGTAGAAGCCGAAACTTAAACGCAACGCATAGTTGCGATAAAAACCCTTTGCTCACTGTTTGCGTAAGAATACTAACTGAACTGCAGTACAGTTTTCGACATTACAGTACAGCAACATCGATATTAACCGAGTCGCATAATCGAACGGGCTACAAAAACCGCAGGAAATGCTGCTAATTGATGGCAGGTAATAAAATATTCCGCCTTTTTGTTACATGCGATCAATTATATATTATCTTCCGCCGTTCTGAGTTTTATTGTGAATGAATAACAGCTCAAATTCAACTTATATATCATTATAAATTTTCAATTATTTTACTTTGAGTTATCAATCCCTTTATGATTATAATTGCGCGTGTTTTAAAACAAGAAACTTTCTCAAAAATATTTAACAACATTTTATGCCATATATGAACAACTAATCGCATGTTCAATTACCAAGAACAAAGCAAACTTGAATTCTACCATTTTTAGGGGCGGACCTAAACAGTGGTAAAGATGAGACTGAATCGAGACGATTTCTTTATTGCATTCATGTCTTAACTTTGGCATCTTTCTCATATGCCTTGTGAATGTGCTTCTCTCACCGGACGAGATGGTAAAAGCTCTGAGCGGTTTACTGCAACGGGCCGAAACTGAAGTGACGATCCGCAGGCGGTATATAAGCTCATGGTTGAACTAGTATAAGGTTGACCCACGAGTAGCTTATTTTTGCGGATGGAGTTTGTTTTCGCCTGTGACGTCACTGATCTCAGTGGCATCACAGGCGTTAACCAATCACCGAAATACGATCAAACCAGTCAACCAATCCGTCATGGGAATGACGGGATTGTTTACGTTTCTCGATCTACGTGACGTAACAAGAAAGCTTGAACTGAAAGACGGAATTTCTCGTGGGTCAACCTTATATATTTCAGCCATGTATAAGCTCTCCGTGACGGGCGACGCCTTCCACAGTCGCGGCTTGTCGGCTGCAGAGGCCGACGCCACTCGGTTCCTATCGCCTGATGACGTGCGAGCGCTGCTGAGCAACACTGATGAGGTAGAAGTATTGAAGAAATTATACAGAGACGGACTTAAAATAGTGCACATTACAATCAAACAAAGACTAAAAATTTTTTTATACGAATAAAGTTAAATGAAAACTCGGGTTATTATCGCGCCTGAAGCTTAAACAATTATTTTATACGAATGGAGTTAAGCGATAACTCGGGTTATTATCGAGCGCAAAGCTTACACAATTTTTTTATGCGACTGGAATCGTTAAAATTTTCATGCGCAGAGGTGCGCGCAATCATGCTTGTCAGAAGTCCTATTGGATTTCGCGCTCCTATAGGGGGAATGTTCCTGAGCGCCCCACCGCTGAGCTCGCAGTATCTGACAGCGGGACTCAGTTGTGTGGTTAAGTTTATTATGTAGGTAGGATTCCATGCATTAAGTTAATTATGTATGTAGGTAGGATTCCTTACATTTCCCATCTCTGTCTCTCTAGTGCGGGCGGCCGATGTCCCGTGTAAACGACCTCTTGTTCGAATGTCTTAGTTTCTGTTGCTTTTCATCTGTCCATTCTTGTCACCTATCCCTCTTTGTCATCTGTCCCTACTTGTCACTTATCTCTCCTTGTCACCTTTCCCTATCCTTGTCACGTCGTCTCTTTGAGATGCTAACGCTGCTTCTCTCGCGCCCGCTTCAGCGGGCTTGACATCTGAGATATTCCGCCCCTTGAGGGTGATAATTAATTTGCAATTTTGTGTTATTGTGATCTTCCGCCTTGCGGGCGATGTAATCCTTTAAAATCCCGTGCAAAAAAACAAGATAGCTGAAACGCTAGCAAACCATTCTACTACTACTGCTATTAATAATAACATTAATATTCGATCGTCGATCGAGTAAAGTGATAACAGGAATAAATAATGACCTCGAGTGGCTTTAAATTTGGGTCAACATTATTTGTTATGCGTCGTTTGGTAGATGTGCGTCTCATTGAAAATGTACGTCACTTCAACTAATGCTAATCACAAAACCTCGCCAGTAGTTAAATATATAATTACGTATCTGAATAGCGTAATTCAGTTGCCTAATTCAGTTTGCCCCTTAATTGGACCGCCAAAAATGAAAAAAACACCAGGTTAGAACCACGTTTACTACTATTTCTCAGAATAATAAAAATCCACTCCATCACGACTGAGAAGTTAAGACAAATCATTTCTGTTATTCTGGTCATAAATCGTATCTTTTATTTCTGAAAATTTATGCTTATCAAAGTGAAAATCTTCTTCCAATTTTTTAAACTGAGTACGTATTCAATGTCTCAAGGTTAAAAGGAATCAGAAATTGTTCCCTGGCATTATGTCGATACGATAAAAATTTTTGGATAAGAGTAAGAACAGCTTCCTATAATTTTCAGTATCAGGCTTCAGACATGAAAACTTTCAGAACTATCTGTTTAGTTTGGCAAAAGTTGTTATTTTATTCAGAAAAGATTAAAGACAGCAGAGCGTGCTTTTTATAAATAATTTTCTCAATGAAGCTTGAGCTGAAAAAGCTGATAGGAGCAACATTTTTCTTATTTTGGTCTATACCGAGTCTTTTCTAAAATCAGTGAAATAGCATC